AGCTCACAGTGCACCTCTGTCCCCTTGGCCTGGGCCTGGGTAGTACAGGACCCTTCCTGCACTCAGCTTTTCCAGAGTGTTTGAGGTGGCCGCCAGTCAGAGGAGCCTGTAGAAGGGCAACTGTCTTGGGTGAGGCTCAAGTGCCCCAGCCAACTGAGAGAGGAAAAGATGCTGAGCCTCTGGCTTTAAAATCAGTTTATCAGGTGTCATGTGTTCAATAAGAAACCATATCAAATATTTTAAATTTCTACCCTGGGAAAGGATGGAACAGAAGTTTTTAAGAGGCAGCAGTTACAATACCTACCTTTGAGGACTCACCAGGTTCTTCATTTACTGTTCCCAGTCCAATTCTACACTGGAGGATACTAAGGCTCAGAGAGATAAAGTGACAGCCAAGGGACAGAGCCAGAATGATTCAGCGATCCAGATTCCTACAGAGTAACTTTGCACCCATTAGCTGCCCACTCTCATCTGAAGTTCCTACATCTGTATCTCAAGGGACTTGGTGTCCAGCATCTACAGTATGAGCCAAGAAGCCCAGGGACCCATCCCTGCCCTGGCCACAGAGCCACCAGAGATACAGCACATCACACTTACTTTTCTCCCAAGCACCAGAAAAAAGAGCCCAATTATCAACTTCCAGGGAGAAAAAAATAAAGCTATAAATTTTCCAAGTATTTCCTACTTCCAAGTTGCTGCTGGCTTTGGCCCCCAACCAGAGAGGGTCCTGTAGGGTAGTTGGTGGGGAGGTACCCGGGCCTTAGGATTGAGAATCCTCAGCTTGAGGCCAAGAGAAGCAAGGGACAGGAAGAAGCCAGCTCATCAGTGGGCTAAGACCCCTCTGGAGACTTGGGCTTGTTTCTTAATCTTTTCCTTCCTTTGTTGGCCAGAGCTGGCTGCAAGGAGAGGCAGGGGAAACAGTGGGTGGGGCTGAGGAGATGAGGGAGTCTGGATAATGATTTAATTAGAGCTCCTGTTTATGGGTGCTCATTACACACAGACACTAGACCAGGGCATTCGTGGGGATTACCTCACTAAAGCCTTACCTTTCCTTGTGATGAAAGCCTCCCAGCCCCACTTTACTGAGGGGAAACTGAGGTGCAGAGAAGGCAAATGAGTGACTGAAGGCCATATAGTTTGTCAGTGGCAAGGCCAGCAGGAAGCCCAGGTTGTTGACTCCTGAGAGAGGGTTCTCTTTTCTCCTGATACCCAGAAAGCGTTAACTACCTGTTCCCCTGGGCTCACTGGGCACCTGAGGAGCAGGAACCTCTATGAGTCATCTTTGTGCCCCCAGAACCCAGCCCAGGTCAGGGCTCAATAAATGTTTGTTGTCTAGTTGCATTTTATCACTCAATCTATGAGGCAGGCAAAACAGGTTTTCTTATCCTCACTCTCAAGGAAAAGGAGGGCAAGCACAAGGGAGTGACTTCTGGATTCACAGGGACATTCAGGGACACTGGTCGATAGGCCTAGAACCCAGCGCTTCTCTGCACATTGCAGTCCCCTGCCATGACCTGACCTCAAAGAGCTGTCCTCCCTGCTGGACCCACCAGGGGCACCACAAGGAATCCCTAAGACAGTGGCCAGAAGCCTTGCCCCAGTGTCCAGCTCAGACAGAGCTGCCACCTATGACAGCTGATGGCAAGGAGCAGATGAGTGGCTTTTGCCAACGCCGACCCAACTCTGGCTCCTCCTCTCAGACAGACCTCTCAGCCAGTGGGCCCAGTCACCCCAGATGCCACGATCTTGCTCTCACTTCTGTCTGTCCTGCCTGCTGCGGCCATTATCACTTCCTCCTGGCTCTGCCTTCCAGACAGACCTCGCATCCACACACATGCTCACACAGATATACCCCACTTCGTGGCCCAGTCCTAGGCCCAATATTCAGCGTTCCTCACTGGACTGTTGCCTCTGCCCCTGCACCTGCTCTTCCATGCTTAATATCCAGTGGTTCTCCACTGCCTGTAGGTCAAGTGGCCTCCGATCTCCTAAGCCCGTCTCTCCAGGTGCCCCCCTCCCCACAGTGCAAGCTATGGCTCTGTGCCCTGGCACATGTAGTTCCTTCCCCAGGAATGTCCCTTCTCCCAGACTTTGCCTAAGAACATCTAGTCATGCTTCAGTGCCTCGTTCAAAGGTAAAGTTGGTGGTTTCTAGGTCCTTCTCCCCACTAGACCTGGAGCTCCCCAAGGAGACAGGGACAGGAGTATGCAGATTCATCTCTGGACACCATGACAGCAGGGCCTGGCACAGAGTGGGCATGAGTAAAAGCAGATGACCAGAAGAGGGAGTTGCATTGTTATTTCCATGAGCCACTCCCTTACTCCACCTTATAGGTGCCTTTCAGAACCTGTCAACTAGATTAGGTTGCTACACACCTGTCCCCAGCATTTCCTTCCCAGACATGATTTCCACTGTCCTAAGAGGGAGAACTTTATAATTGCAGAATAATGCTCATTGTTATAATAATGATCACAATTACTATTTACTGGGCACTCAGGCCTCAGTATTTAATCCTCACAAGAACCCTAGGAGGTAGATAGATTCTTTTATTGTCTTTATTATTATAGATAAGGAAACTGAGGCTCCAAGAGGTTATATATTTTGCCTATGGTCACACAACTAGTAAACTATTAGATTCACTGGGTCTGTCTGACCCTTGACTACTATGCTGTCCAGTCTTCTGCTTTCTGATATCTCCACTCTTCAAAACTCAGAGTACAGGGGGCCGGGGATTTAGCTCAGCGGTTCGGTGGCCGCTTGCAAGGACCTGAGTTCAACCCCCGGTACTGGGAAAAAAAAAAAAAAAACTCAGAGCACCAAGGCCTGGGTAGTGAGCACAGTCTCTGTGTGTGTGTGTGTGTGTGTGTGTGTGTGTGTGTGTGTGAATTTATTTATCCAACAAACACCTCAGTAGCTCCCATTAGTGCTGTGCTGGAACTAGAGAGGTGTAAGAGGACTCACATGCACTCCTACCTCCTTGGGGAGAAAAGAGAGTTTCACACTAAGCATTTGGGCCTCAGGATCAGCAGAATTGGATCTGAGCCCCACCTCCCCCCACCCCATAAATAACTGTAACTCACTTTATGACCCAGTGCATTTCCTTCATCCATAAAGTAGGGATAGCAATGCCTGGGTCAGAGTGTCACTGGAAGACACGTGTCTAAAATAGCACATAACAGCCAGCCCAGAAACAGGAAATATGATAATGGCAACAATACATATGATGACCAGAGTTTCTCAGAATCCCTAGCCTTGTTGGATGCAATTCTCTAGGGCTCTCTCTGGAGCCTCCTCAACCAGAGCCAAATAGTAGTATGGACCATGTTCTGATCGTGACCACATTCTGATTAAACTATTCTCCAAGTGAAGTGTCCTTCATTAACCCTATTCTACAGGCAGGGCAACCTAGGCAGAGAAGGTAGATCACTGGATCAAGTCACTCAGCAAAAGGGCAGGTGAGCTGGAAGCTCCACTCAGCTACATCCACACCAGGCACAGCCCAACCCATGTCCCAAAAGCCTTGGCAGCCTGCTGGGGAGTTCAGGGGCTCCTCACTCCTAGATAGGTGAGAAGCTAAAAGTGGGAGAAAGGAACCAAAAAGATGGACATTTTGCTTAGTCCCCTCCCAGAATGTGCCAAGACTGGAGGAAGCCAAATGGGATATGGAGAGGGCCAGGGATTTAGCTCAGTGGTGCTGCCGCCTGCCTTAGAAGCACAAGGTCTTCAATTCGATCCCCGGTACAAAAACAAAGGGGGATATGGGGAAAGTGTTGTCATATGTATGTCTCAGATGAGGTCTCTAAGACCCGGAGAGGTTCATGACTTGTGCAAGGTCATATGACTAAGAAAGCAGCAGTACTGGGAAGACAGAGTCTTCCTCACCCCTCCCACCTGCCTCTCTCTCTCTCTGTCTCTCTCTCTCTTCAGAACTGGAGACAAAACCCAGAGCCTCCCACGTGCTAACTGCTATAGCACTAAGCTACATCTCAAGCCCCTTTTTTTAAAATTTTTCTTTCATTCTTTTTTTTTTTTTTGAGATGGGTCTCATTAGGTAGTTCAGACTGGCCTTGACCTCACAGCAATCCCCCTGCCCAGCCTCTTCAGTGTTGAGACCACAGGTGTGCCCTACCACACCCAGCATCCCTTTTCTCCTAAGAAAAACTAAAGGTCTGCTTTTCCCTCTTCAAGAGATCTAGTGGCCTAGGTCCCTCTCTCTGCTGATTAAACTTGTATGGTATTTGGTCTCGCACTTGGTTCAGAGAATACACAGCCCACTTTAACAGCCTCCAAGAAGCTCAGTCTCATGAGCAAATAGGGGTCTGACATTCACTGAGCCTTTATGATGCTGGACACTTTGTATCTATTAGCCATTTAATTCAGCACAAAAACACTGACAGGTACATAGTAAGCACTCAACACATGTCTTCATCTATTCAGAAATATGCACCAAATAACTACTATATGCCACTATGTCCTAGGTGCTAGACACACAGCAGTTTAACAGATGAGCACAGTGCCTGCCCTCATGGTGTTTAGTTTATTTATTTATTTATTTATTTTGTCCCAGGGATCAAACTCAGGACTTTTCGATTGCAAGGCAGGCAGAGGAACCACTGAGCCAAATCCCAGGTCCCCGTGGTGTTTATATGAGTAAAGGAATAGGTATACAGTACTTGCAGTTGGAAGGTATTAATATTTGCACTTTACAGATGTCAAACTGAGATGCAAAGAGCCACCCATCCATAAGTGGCAAAGCAAGGATGCTGTTCCAGGCTGTCTGCCTCTGAGCCCTTTACAGTGTATCACATGACCCCCAGGTCACTACCCAGTGTGTCAAGCGTCAGCAGAGATCTCAGCCCTGCTTGCGGTACAATCCTAACTTCACAGAGTACCTTTTCTCAGCACTTCCACCTCCACCCCTGGCCTCTTCTTACATCTCCCAGTGGCCTCAGAGCCATGGGACATGCATTAGAGCTCACATAGGTCAAACCCATACTCACCCAGAAGCAGCCGACCAAGTTGTGCAGCCAGTCAGAGAGAGGCCGTGGAGCCATCACCGCAGCAGCACATGGAAGCAAAGCACAGCAGTGAGACTCACAGCACAACCAATAACCAAGCTCTTCCAGCCCCTCTTCAGCCAGGACCTCCCCCTGCCTCTGGGGCTCTGCCCGACACTCTCCCAGTTAGCAATAATCTGATAATAATCCACACTGAGCTCATCAGGATGCACAGGGCCCTGGAGGCAGCAGAGTCCCTGGTTACAAACATTCCCTGAGACCTACCGTGGGTCAGGTGTTAGACAGGACACAGTCTGAGGAAGACAGATCTGTCCCTGCCCTTAGGAACCTGCACTGCATCGAGGAAGTAATCACATGGCTACAGAACGACAAATGTCAGCTTCCAGGAGGAGACCTAAGAGCTCAGGTTCAAATCCTGGCACTATCATTATGGCTCCATCATTTGTGAATCAGGACCTTTTTATTTTTTTTTTTAACATCTCCATGTCTCATTTATTCATCTGTAAAATGGAGATAGTATCATTATCCACCTCATAGGATTAGCATGAGGATTACATGAGCTCATATACAAAGTTAGGGTCTGGGATTTAGCTCAGTGGTGCCACCACCTGCCTCACAAGCACAAGATCCCAAGTTCGATCTTTGTGAATCAGGACCTTTTTATTTTTTTTTTTAACATCTCCATGTCTCATTTATTCATCTGTAAAATGGAGATAGTATCATTATCCACCTCATAGGATTAGCATGAGGATTACATGAGCTCATATACAAAGTTAGGGTCTGGGATTTAGCTCAGTGGTGCCACCACCTGCCTCACAAGCACAAGATCCCAAGTTCGATCTCCAGTACCAAAAAAAATATATAGACATATAAATCTATATATATAAATATATTAAAATATTTTGAACGATGCTTGGCACATAATTAGCTGTCTGTAACTGTTAGCTACTACTACAACTACTATTATTATTACTACTTTTTGTACTGGGGATCAAACTCAGGACCTTGCACTTGCAAGGCAGGCTGTAGCATCAGTGAGCTAAATCTCCAGCCCTGTTAGCCATTATTACAGGGGGCTGCAGCATGGGTGAGGCCACCACCTACCTGACAAGGTTGCTACGGGGACCAAAAGAGACAATGTGAAGTGAAGTGTGAGCCCAGTGCCTGCCATAGGGTAATTACTCAGTGAATGGTGGTGTTGCTTTCTGGGCCCTCTGCAGCGAGCACAACCCCAACATAAAGCATCTCAACAGAGCGTCTGTCTCAGAACTAAAGCCTTAGACTGAAAAATAACCAGAAACCACACTCTTCTGTGTTTTTTCCAAATGCTTCATCTTTGACCTTCACTGTACCCAGGGCATGGACAAAAGTGAAATTATTACTATTCTCATCTTGCAGATGAGGACTGTGAGGCAAAGAGACTTCTCTGTGTGTCCTTAGGATTGTCTTTTCACATCTCCAGCCCTGGTTAAGTAGTCAAGCGAGATCCAGCTAGCATCTGCCTAGATTGTCTCTTTCCCATGCTAGGGATTGAACCCAGAGCCTCAAGCATGCTAAGCAAGCATATGTTCTACCACTGAGCTACACCCCTACCCCTTTTATATTTTGAGATATGGTCTTGCTAAATTGGCCAGGCTGGCCTCAAACTCACAATCCTCCCTCCTCAGCCTCCTAAGTTGCCAAGGTTATAAGTGCGTACCATCATACCTCGCCCTCATAGTAAGTGTTTAAGAAGAAATGGCTCAGGTTAGAGGTGTAGCTCAGAGGTAAAGGATTTGCCTAGAATGCCTGAGATTGGAATTGATCCTAGCACCACATATGTACATACCTAGGTAGGTAAAAAAATAAATAGAGACAGTGATTTCTAATTATAATTAGAGAGCACAGGCCAAGAATAGGATTTGTGAGCTGGACATGATGGCACATGCCTGTAATCCCAGCACTCTGGGAGGCTGAGGCAAGAGAATTGCTAGTTCCAGCCTAGCCAGGGAATTTGGTGACTTAGCAAGACCCTGACTAAAACTTAAAAAGCAGGGTCAGGGACATAACTCAGTACAGAAGCCCTGGGTTCAATCCCCAGTACCCAAAAAAGAAAAAACAAAGATTTGTGGGCTCATCACCTTAACCTTGACCTTGCCTGCAGCCTATCCCCTCACATGGGAAAAGGGCAGGTGACAGACTAAATTCCAAAGCAGGTCTCATTGTGATAGTAATGGGTATTAGGACATCAACAGAAATTCTAATTTCAAGCTTCTTTCCCATTTCACGGAAAGGGAAACTGAGATCCAGTTTGAAAAGCATCTGGCTCACAGACTACAAAGGAGTAGAATCTTAATTCTATTAGTAAATCTCAGAATCTTAAGCACTGGAGAAATTCTGGCCCCACACATACTCAGACCCATTCTGAAACCCAACAGATCTCAGGTCACTTCTACCTCTATGGCCCTTTTTAGGTATCCTCTTCAGCTCTGCAGCTGACAAACCTGTATAAAGCACACAGTAGGTGCTCAGGAAGGACTTGGGAATAATTACACGAAATAAATGAAGTTCTTCTCTGGGTTCCCATTTCCTAGTCCCTTCCAGGATTCTCTCCCTGCATCTCTCTTCTCCCTCTCATCCAAGAATCTGTCTCACCCTGCAGCCCAGGTGCCCCAAGCTGGGCCTGGCTCCAGTCAGTAGAGCTCTAGGCCTCCACAGGGCCTACATGGCATCAGCATCTTCCCAGCCAGAATGGGATATTCCTGCTCAGCTCTGCCAGCTAGGCTCCTGGCCAGGGTCCACTCTGCAGAGAGGGTGCTGGCCCTGCCCTGCCTGGGCCCTACCTCCACTGGTCTAGGGGGTGGGGCAGCCTAGGAGACCCAAGAGCTTCTATTGGCACCGGGGGGCCTACGGAGGGAGGCCAGCCTGGTCTAGGTGGTGCAGGCAGATGGTGCAGGAGACAGCCAGGTATGGGGCCTTCTCACTTCACTCACACACCTAGGTGTTCCACCTGTGCCCTACGTAGCTGTGACCGGGCAGCCCCTGCCTGATTCTCTTGTATATATGCAAGGGAAACTTCAGGGCTTCCCTACTCCATTCCGTTTTTAAAACACACTGCTGGCCTGCTTTCAGATTAGCAGATGAGGTTTTAGTGCCTCATTTGACTCTGCTAAGGCCTGTAAGGTCTAGATTATTGACTACAGAGGAACCTGGAGCTCAGAGAGGCTCATGCAAGGTCACACAGCAAGGATGTGGCAGAGCAAGGATTCAAAGTTCTGCTGCATGTAAAGCCTACAGAACCCTGATGTTTCCCTCCCTCCTTTTCTCCTCCCTCTCTGATCCTTACAGTTTCTGGTTTTCTTGTCAGACCTTCCACCTCCCTTCTGCAGTCTCCCTTCCCCCATTCCTGGTCAGAGTTAATAATTCCCACCTCACAACTGCTAAATCATCCTATTTACATGCCCCTGACAGCAGCAGGTACCAGAGGCTGCAAGGTACACAAATTATTTCTGAGATGTCTGTCTCTCTCTTAGGAGGGCCTTGATGGCAAGGAGTAACCTCAGTAGGTCTGACAGACTGACAGTCTGTCACTTCCATCTCTGCTGCCACCCCCGACCCCCATGCAAGCCTCTCTGGCCTCCCCCATGCGTCCCTCCCCACCCAATCCTCCCGCCACACATCAGACCTGTAACTAGGGTACAGGTAGGGAGCTTACTGAGGAGGAGGGGTTGTGCCAGTGCACCTGTCCCTCCCTCACCCTTCAGTAGCTGAGGACTTGACCCTTGACTTGGCATCCTGCATCTCTCACAGGGACTCCCAACTGCCCCAAAGCCCACCCCAGCCAGGCTCTCTCCAAACCTCCTCCTTGAGAAAAGGGTTCCAGGAGCAGCCTCCCACTCTAGTCCAGGAACTTAAGGGGTCGCACGAAGCCACTCCCTCCTTCCAGGGAAGGGGTAAGGCCTGGAATAACCTTCCCCAACCCCACCCAGACAGCCCTTCCCCCACTCCTTTGAGGCAAGCTCGGGCTGGGGTCTCTCAGGACAAGTCTCCGCCTCCAACTTGCTGGACAGGAGGGGTCTGTCCTATCCCAAAGAGGTGGGGCCTGCCGGAAAGTGTGGGTGAGGGCAAGACAACTCTTGGGCAAAGATGAGGGCAGACAGGGAGCGACAGGGCAGGGACGAGAGAGAAGACAAGAGGGAAAACGAGGGATGAGAGTGAGCAGGAAAAGGCCCGAGAGAGCCGCAGGAGACCAGAGGGAGAAGAAAGTCCTTAGCCCAGGCTGCAAGGGAGCGCGTGGGGCCGGGGCGGGGAGTGCAGAGCCACCGAGGCAGACAGCGCCGGCGCCCCAGATCGCGGGTCCCTGGGTCCGGAAACCTAGTTACGTAAGGGCCTGAGCTGGGCGCAGGGATCCCGGCCGGTGCCCCTTCTGCTGCGGCAGCCGGGCCCGGTACGGGGGCCCCCGGGCTGTGCGGTTCGGCGGTTGCGCGCCGAGACCCGACACGGGACGCCGCGACACGAGGCTGGTTCCGGACCCAAGCCTCTCCCCTACCCCAAACTTCGAGACACCCAAGCCCCTTTGGGCCCCGAGTTCTGAGCTTGGAACCCAGGACCTCTACAGCGAACCTCCCCCCGGGACCTTTGGACCCTGGTCTCCCCCTCCCAGGACGGTCGGTGCCCTTGGGATCGATTCAACTTGTCCCTCGCTCAGTTCCTCCCAGAAACTGAGGGTCGCCCCCTAGGCGGTCCGGGCTCACCTGGGCTGGACTGGGCGGGGACCTGGCCGGGCCGGGCCGGGCCGAGTTCTCACTCTTCGCCGCTCTCGCCCTTTAAGAGGTCCCTACCCCTTTGCCCCGCCGGGGGCCTCCACCTGCACTGACAGAGCAACTCTGACGCAGGCCCCGCCCTTGCCCCAGGAGGCCCTCTGATTGGCGCTAGCAACTGCCAATCTTCTGGCCGACGGGCAGGAATGGGCGGGGGAGGGCGAGCGCTGCAGTAGGGAAGGGGCGGGGGCTGCAGGTGCGGCTCGGCTGGGACGCC